CCGCCTGCGCTCAGTGGCCGGCTGCTAGCGTGTGCAGGCTGGGATGCTGAGTGCGACCCGGCCTGCACGTGCGGGATAGGAGAGTGCACTGGGGGCCATGAGCAGAACGGCACGGGCCGTGAGCACGCATGCGGCTCAGAGCAGCCCGCCGTGAGACCGGCTGACCTGAGTGGTTCCGGGTTTGTCCCGGTTCTGTCAGGAGCCACAATTTTTTCCTTGCGGCTTGCGAGCTGCAGGTTGACCACTTCTGGACTTCACAATTAACCAATAAGCCTGGCCTTATCGGTTAATCCTGTCGACTACAGGCATGACCCTCTCTTGCTACCTCTATATTAGAAGTGGGGGAGGCGGGAGCCAGCTTTAAGCTGTCTCCCCACAAGCACCAGTTCCGCCTGCCTCCCCCCGCTGAGCTGCCCCCTCTGTTAGAGAGGCAGCAGCATGGAGGGTAGGGAGGTGGGGGCAGGCAGGAGCTGATAGAGGCAGGCAGCTGGCTTGTAAGCTGATTCTTTGTTCATGCCAGCTCCTCCTACAGAGGCAGGGAGGGGTGAGAGGGGGCAGGCAGGAGCTAGTGCTGGAGGAAGCCGCGGGGGGGGCGGAGAAGAGAATCCGAGCTCCCTTCGGACAGGGCTTGCTTCCAACCCCACCTCCGGGGACTATCAAATAATCGTGTAACTGCTAAAATGTGATGTGGTTACACGACTATTCAACTACACGCCATCTAACATCCCTCGTATACAGCTTCCATTGCCAATGAAAGGTTTAGCGTGGAACCCACTGCTCAAAAGTAAGCTACTGCCTCTGTTTTTGCCACCCAGTGACCTCCAGGAGAAACATTAAAGAGATGTTGCTTCTCTCTGGCAAGGGGGTGCAGAGATGGCAGATACCTGGGAGATGGCTCTTGGGCGCAGGGGTCTGGCACAGGGACATGCAAAACCAGCACTGCAGCTGGACAGTTGGTTTCCACATGTGATGCACAGGAGAAGACTCTTGTGCCACTAATGTGCCAGTCAAACAGCCAACTTGCTACAGCTACAGGAGCAGAAGCTGCAGTTGCCACTGACACTCAGCCCCAGAAGAGGCGGCCAGGACGCCAGAAGGGTATTAAGGGTGGGTGTGTCTTTCCTCTGCAATGAATGGTACCTCATAGCTGCGCACGACCCTCATGCCTCGTCCACCTCCGCCATATGCAGCTTTGAAGATGATGGGGAAGCCATACTTATTGGAGAACTCATGGGCCTCACTGAGAGATGATATTGGGGAGTCGGTGCCCGGCACCACAGGGACCCCTAGGAGAGAGCAAACACAGGCATGTCATTCCCAGCTCTGCCACTGACCTTGGGCAAATCCCAGCCCCGCTCAGTGCCTCAGTTTCCCCTTCCATCCTTTGTCTAGTTAGAGTATGAGCTGTTCAGAGCAGGACTGCCTCTGTGTCTGCACAGCACCCAATACAACATGGGCCTGATTAAAATTGGGATCTATGCAGTGACCACCGCTACTGGGGTTCCAGTATATTCAGGACTCTAGACACTACTGTGATAAACGCACTGAGAGTGGATTGCCCCAGGCTACACAGTGAGTTACTAGCAGAGCCATCTGGGATGCAGCACCCCCAACAGCTCAATGCCCCAAGCTCCAGTCAGGGGTCAGCCCTGCCTAGAAGGAAGAGCACCCCATACTGATCCTTGCGGCCCACCACCTCCTAGCATCACACTGGGGCCAACACTGGCTGAGAGGGGAGAGCGCCCCCTACCTGCAGCAATGGCGATGGCACGGGCTTCCACCTTGTCACCCATCTGGCGTACCACTTCTGGGCTGGGGCCGATGAAGCGTACTCCAGCCTCATTGCAAGCCTGGGCAAAGTCTGAGCGCTCTGACAGGAAGCCATAGCCGGGGTGAATAGCATCCACTTCATTCTCCTAGGGGAGCAGACACAAGGGAAGAGTCATCAGAGAAATGTCTCACTGGCCTCTTTAAAACCCACAGGCCTTCAAGTGCCCAGAAGATTAGGGAAACTGAGCATGGCGAAGAGCCAGTTGATTGCAGAAGCAGGAACAGAACCCAGGAGATCTGGCACCTACCTCCCTGCAGTGTAACCTACCAAGCCCCATTTCCTTTCCAGAGTCAAGTACACACTACCTAGTCCAAGCCCCAATCCAGTCTAATTTTGTAAATATTAATCATAATCAGGGCTGTCAATTCACAGCAGTTAACTCAAGCGATTAATGTGAAACAAATTCATTAGATAAAACAAAAGTTGTGATTAATCACAGTTTTAATTAAACAATAATAGAATACCAATTTGCATTTATTATACCTATCTTGGGTATTTTTCTACATTTTCAAATATATTGATTTCAATGACAACACAGACGATAAAGTGTACAGTGCTCACTTTACATTACAACAGTGCCATGTGAGCGCATGTTCTCGCTTTCATGTGACACTGTAAATAAGAAGCAGGCAGCATTATCTTCCATAAATGTGAACAAACTTACTTATCCTAGTACTTGGCTGAACACACTGAGTAGACACGTAAACTCTAAAGTTTTACATTGTTTATATTAATTACTAATAATTAATATATAACAATATAACAATTGTATAATAACTGACTATAGATTCGAGAGTTTGTCTGTCTGTCTGTCTGTGTTTGTTTGTTCAAGAACTCCTCCTAAACGATAAAAGCTAGGACCACCAAATTCGGTATACAGCTTCCTCTTACCGTAACTTAAAGCAACGTCAGGGTTTGGTTGTGCCAGGATAATGGGATGTGTCTAGAATAGGACTGCTTCTCAGAAAACCATATAGAAAAGAGAAACACACACCAGGTAGGTGAAAGGGGCTGGCTGGGGGTGCCTACGCCTGGGACTGCTCAGCCTCCAGCCTCCCACTCTCCAGGTGCCCATTAGGGAGGACAAGGGGAGCTGAAGTTTCCACCCCAGATTCCTATGGGGATTCTGCGGGCTGGTCCCCTTTGTTAGGGAGCGAGGGGTAAGTGCACAGTTTGCTGTTTTCCTCATTCTGGATGAGGAATTCAAGGGGCAGATGAGCTGTGCACTTTGACCTCATTCCCTGACAGGGACAGGAACGGGAAGATCAAGCAGCCCTAGTACAAATCTCAGGGAGAGGGGGGATTTGCTCCCGCAGGGGAGACTGCGGTGAAGCCCTCCCTCACCCCCTCAGCCCCCTGCCCTGAGCCCCTCCTCCCCCCCACACCTCCCTTAGACACATACACATACGCTCCTCTGTCCTGACCCTCTCCTCATCCCCCCCACCCTGACTCCTGCACCCATCACACCCTCAGCCCCCTGCCCTGAGCCCCTCCTCCCCGGACCTGAGCAATGCCAGGTAAATGTGCTAGTTACATACAGTAGTTATGTACAAAAATTCTACATTTGTAAATCTCACATTCACGATAGAGACAGCAGTACAGGGCTTGTATGAGGTGAAATGAAAACTATTATTTCTTTTATCTTTTTTACAGTTCATATATTTGTAATCAAAACTAATCCTATAAAGTGAGCACTGAATACTTCTGTGTGAAATCAAAATATTTGAAAATGTAGAAAATCACCCCAAAATATTTATAATCAAATATTTATTCTGTGATTGCTTAACAGTGTAATTAAAACTATGATTAATCGTAATTTTTTACTCTCACGATTAAATTCAGTTAATTTGTAATAATTTGACAGCCATAATATGATTGTTCATGATCACACTTTGTATTAATTATTAATTGTAACCCCCCCCGACATTCCCATCTAGGATTGCCAGATGGTCTCCCAAAAAAATAGCGAACACGCGGGCTAAAAATCTGTCAAGCAAAAAAATAAATAAATAAATAAATCACTGCCACAAACACACACGCTAGTCTTCTGCCTCTTTTGAGAAAAGTAGAGTACAGAATGTGCAGTTGCATGATGTGTTGGATAGTGTACTAGTCCTGGTTAGGGATGTTAAATTTAAAGTGCTAATCGAATAGTCGATGCAATTTGTATCGACTATTCAGTTAATTGCTAAGGGTGCCTCCGCTTTTGAAGTGTAGCCACTGCTCCAGGGCTGTTGCTACACTTCAAAGGTGAAAGCGCTGCTGGGACCATGGGGCCAATGAGGAACTCAAGCAGTCCCCTGCTGGCCCCATGCTCTCTGAGGAGTTTCAAAGTGCAGTGCCGCATGGAGCCTGGGGTCAGGGGGGAGTCCAGCCCCCCAGCCACTCCCCCTGCCAGGCTTCTGCGCAATCACAGGCTCCTAGTGCCAATCGTGGCCTCGCCTCCCAGCCACTCCCCCCGCCCATGCCGGGCTTCTGTCCGATGCGAAGCAAGAAAAATCAGAAAATACTGGACATTGCACATGTCCAGTATTTTCTGATTTTTTTTTTTACCGGACAGAGAGCGCAAATACCGGACTGTCCGGTAGAATACCGGACACCTGGCAACCCTATTCCCATCATACCTTGGCTACTTTGATGATGTCAGGAATGTGCAAATACGCCTGGACGGGGGGCAGTCCCTTCCCAATGAGATAAGCCTCGTCCGCCTTCTGCCTGTGCATGTGCCCTGTGTCCTGCTCGGAATAGACAGCCACCGTCCGGATCCCCAGCTCGGTGCAGGCTCGGAAAACCCGGATGGCAATTTCCCCTGCAGCACACACACCAAGGAATGACCCAGAGGGGGTTGGGCATGGAAGGCAAACGAGGGCAACCAGCTGCCGGAGTCTGCAGAGAGCCTGAGCCAATCACGCTGTGAAAGGGAAGCTGCCCCAGCTGCGACTGACACACCAACAATGCCTGAGCAGATCACTCCTGGGAGGGAGCTGACCCACGGCATCTCAATGGGGTGTTTGCTCCCAGACCCCTGCCTGGGGGGCTGTGCAGA